GTAGACAACATCGTTGTGGATTTCGAGCAGCAAAAGTGTGCAACATGAGTTCTTCGTTCCCCAAGACCTTAAGTTGAAACTTCTTCGCTAAATCTTCCGATACAAATGATCGTTGGCTCCCACTGTCAAACAGTACATACGCTTCTGCTATACTTCCTTTCCTTTTGGGGTTGCGAACTACAGCTTTTGTGAGCGGAAGTATTACTTGACTACTCATTTTGGTATGAACGTTACCAACCTCAAGAGACGTAACTTGTGCGTTTTCTTCTTTTGTTTTTGTGACAGGAGGTTTTACTTCATTTCGCACGTTACCGAACCTATCACAGAACGCAGAATTGTGATCTTTCTGGCAGTAACAGCATTTCTTAGTGATCGTACAGTTCTTAAACCTATGGTTAGACCTTAAGCACTTAATGCACAGTCCTAACTCATAAGCGCGTCTCTTACGTTGTTCCAACGTGCCATACCTTTTGCACTCACTATTGAAGTGCTCTCCCTTACAAAATATACATGGTCTTCTAATCTTAATCCTTCCGATCGCTGATTCTGCCACTTGGTATGAAGTCTGTATCCGTGCCACCTCTCTTCCACGAGTAGTGTCTGCCGTCTTTAACTCGTCTTTTCTAACATACCTTGAGGAAAAACTAGTCCCTACGCATTCCCGAGCCTGAATTATTTCGTACAGCAACTTCATTAACTTCTCTAAGTTCCACTCTTTTCGCATGTTCAATTTCGCACGTACGATCTCAAGTGCAATATCTCTAGGAAACTTATCTTGTAGAATCATCATTATAGCTATTAGATCAATCATACCTTTGAGGCCCCTGGCTTGCTGTAGAAATTTGTCAATTTCCTCCACCGTCACTCGTAGGCTTGCAACAGCTTCTCCAGCTCTGGGTATATTTCTTAACTGTTGATATAACGCCTGTTGTCTCAATTTTTCTTTGCCAAACCTTTCCTTTAAGATATTTACTGCCTTTGTGTAAACATCTTCTCTACGGGGTAGGTATTCAATAGCTGATCTCGCTTTAACTTGCAATAGTGAAACTAGCATATTGAACTTATCGAGAGTACGTAATAAATTATTGTTATGGATGGTACTAGAATAATAATTCCAAAACGTCGTCCAATGCATAGGATTTCCGTCAAATCTGGGTACCTCAAGTTCGGGTAACTTAAACTTTCACTGATTTACTTCAAACGGTTGTAACATTTCCTGATTGTTTTTCTCTTCTACCTTTCCTGTCATTCTATGTAAACGAGTGGAAATCCTGTCGACTGCAATTTCACCTTTCTAAGAAACCTTTCATACTTCTCCTTTTCTTCTTTCAATCTATCTCCTCTTATGGTGGTCAGCAACTGACTCCATTCTCGGTTTTCCCTCTTGATCGTCGAATTAATTCTAATTATCCTCTGTTCGAGTTCCTCCATTTCCTCTACTTTTGTCTTCGTATCTGGTGTTTCTTCGGCATCTATGATTCTGAACGTCTCAATACACTCATAAGGTTCCTCAACTAGAACTTTGGTCGTTGCTCTGATAGGTTCCGACATGATCTATTCGTTTACCCTTAAAGCTTTTTCTTTCAACCGGTGATACGACAACGACTACTAAACTGCAAACCTCTATGGACGAATACAGATCCTCAGGTCGCTAGTTCGAGTCCGGCTGGTTGGACCAATAAAATTCTGTCGTGGCTGCAGACAAAAGCTTAAAAATTGAAAGGTCGCCTTCGTCAACTTCTCTTCTGCAGTGTCCTATGGGACCTTTCTACTACGCTTTCGACTGTAGTTCAATCAGCCCTCGAAGCTACAGCGCCAACCTACTGCTACCTTGAGACTTTGCTTGCAGCTTAAGACCCCTTTTTGTCCTAAGTCCATGCGGACCGATATGTGTTAAATGGTTGCCAACTCTAGTACTTAGGAAGATTGCTACTTGGCCGTAGTATACCTACCTAAGCTTATATACAGAAGGAAATACTACGTGTGCGTCACTATCTTTCCTATTAACTAGTTTACTACCAATAAACCAGATTATACAGAGATGAGATATTACTGGAAGCAGTCCAAAACTTATTATAAACAATAATGAAATATAATAAGCAAAGATACTACTAGGGAAAAGATAATGAACATACAACTGCCTATGGGCACGTTAAGAGAGAGAAAAACCTCATATAAAGAAGGCCGACAATCAAAACGATTTGATTGTAATGGACACTAAAGTTAGCTAACTGTCACTCCCTATTTATGGCCAATTCTGCCGGTGGCGTGACTTAGGTAGTATGCTCCTCCAAGAGCGTTCCCTCAGGGAACATAATCCCGTTAGTCATTTAGTGAAGGTAGCGTGACCTAGGTAGTATGCTCCTCTCAGAGCGTCCCCTTCGGGAACATGGTCCCGTCGGTCACTTGCTGTAGTTAGTGCCGTTTCGCGTATGGTCGCGACACTCCCGAGAGAAATGAGGCGGACCAATCACGCCTGGGCTAAGTGAACCTTGAGGTAGATAAGCAACGGTTGGGAGTGATCTTTACGTGTAATTTAGGAGAAAAACACGGTGTAGCCCTAGCTCGTAACCACCTATTTCAGCGTCCTCGCTTTATGACTTCAAAATCCTTTGCCTGTGTAGACGGTCTTAAGGTTCCTTGATGGGTGCAGGAGCTAGTACTAGCTGAACCAAAATATGGCACTTCCTTCGAAGTGTCATGAAGTTTCCCGATTTGGTATAACTTCACTTTTATTCTATTTAATGGGTTCAGTAACTCCTTCGTACGCAGTTCCATAATCAACGGAGCCGCCCGCCGGCTTTCATCATTCACCGCGTCATCCACGTCAAATACCAGCATTTCATAGCTTTTACATACTTGAGCCACAATGTAAGTTGGCTTCTTGTCTAAAGCGTAATCTCTCACCCAAGTGAGATTATAACGCGTTTTTGACATCATATTATAAAGTAAAAGATGACTACCAAGTGCTGACTCAAAAAGAACTTTACCGAAGTAACTAACGGAAAAAATACAAAATTGAACTATTATTGAAACGAAAAAATCACGAACAAAGTTACGAAATAAAAGGCTAAAGAAATAATATAACTCAAAATAAAGAAACCTTTAACGAAAATGAACCAAATATGAGAGGAAGCTTACTGAAATAACGTACAAACTAACACAAAGAAAATCGAACTATTATCACAAAAGATTACAAAACGAATTTAAGAAATAAGAAACCAAAAAAATAATATAAATTTTAATAGAAAAAACCCTTAACGATAACAAAGGAAAACTTACTGTTATCCTAACAATAAGTTTTATATGAATTCTAAAAAAATAAAAAATAATAGCGTTGTATACTAATAATAATGAAAATTAACGCCGAAAAGTACGAAAGAAAATTCAACTAAATATATAATTACGTAGTACTGAGTACGAAATATGCAAAAGAAAAAACAATACAAGAAATACAAAATTCAAAAGACTTAAATCAACGAACAAAAATCCAAAAATACAAAATCAACGATAAACAACTAATAGCTCTCAACCTATTTCGAAAATAACGATGTGACTGCTTTCAATCGGAAAGAGCTGAGATATGGCCGTACGACAACTTTCTTATTTGGAAGAATGGCCTCCACATTTTTGATATACCCATTGTTTCGTTTCTGTATGCCTGTCACTCTTCCCAACTTCCATTCTTCCCTCCGGAGATTGGGCTCTTTTACTAATACGACGTCTTCTAGATTTGGCAACACTCTCAACCCTTTGTTTGAATCTTTGTGATCCGTCTGGTGCCTTTCTTTCAAACTCAATATGTACTCCTTTTGAACGTACTCCCA